ATAAAACCATGTCTGCATTCGTGATCGGAGAAACGACAGACAACAAGCGCTACTCGCGTTTGAATCATCAGTGGCAAATTCTTTAAATATAAAAATCTTACTTACAGGCTGTGAGTCAGAAGCGCCAGACTGTCCTTGCAAAGTTGGAACTGCACCACTTTATAGAACAGCCTTTGAACACAGACCCATTGTATGCTACTCTGCAGGTTCAGGAAACAGTCTTCCATAAAATACGTCACAGAGCTTCACACACGGCGGGCTTGAGTGAGCGGAGGCCAATGGCCTTGAGAATGGCGCGGCCAGGGGATTCGACAAAGGAGCGTCCGGAGGGCTTGCGGCAACCACATGTGACGACCCAGGGCTGGACTCCGCTTCATCCACGGTGAAAGCCGATCCGGTGATCCACAGCACGAAGTTTATGTATTTCCTCAGCGACCAGCACGGATCAGCTACAGGCATGACGAAGCGGTTATCGTCCTCTTTTGGAAGGCCAAACAAAGTAGTTTTGCTTTCACAACGAAACACACAGCGCCTTCACGACATGGCGCCTGCAGCAACAACAATACTACAGCGAGAATAAAAGTTACGCCTTCTTTCTTTGCGTGAACATTTGGGTGGCGTTATGTAAACCTTCCCACATCGTGAGGTAGACATGTGGGGGCGTGTTAGAATGAGCCATTTTTGTTTTTTTACCTCTGATTTTCACCGCAATGTCCGAACTGTCTTGAGCATGTCCTCGACAGCCGGCACTTGAGCGTCTTCTTCTTGCTTTACGGCAGATCGCAGACTTATGAGTGCAGTAAGTACAGTTCGGAAATTGCGGTGAAAATCAGAGGTAAAAACTATATAAATACTATAGTTCAGTTTCTTGCATAGACCGACCGTTTTGTGTCTTTACACATCAATGTATCGTCATGAGCCGCAGGGTTTAATTTGGTTTTGTTTGTGTGGCAGATCGCAGACTTATGAGTGCAGTAAGTACAGTTCGGAAATTGCGGTGAAAATCAGAGGTAAAAACTATATAAATACTGTTCAGTTTCTTGCATAGACCGACCGTTTTGTGTCTTTACACATCAATGTATCGTCATGAGCCGCAGGGTTTAATTTGGTTTTGTTTGTGTATGTTTTTTTGATTCTCAAAGCCGTGATTCCTATCCACTTGCATTATATGACTGACAGACTGCAACGGTTTGACTTTTCGGTTGCAGTCTTCTTAAAACAATTTGCATACTGAATTTTGATGGTTCTTTTCTCTCTCATAGGCCGTTTTTGTATAATATAGAGTTTATAACTTTTATATTGCTTTCTCTAATACTTTCAGACAATTTTACTGCTTTACAAGCACTGGTATTTCCTTAAGGAAATGTTTTGTACTGTTTCCTGCAGTTGTATTCAACATGTTACCATGTATCTGCATGTATGAAAGGGTGAGTGAGAGTACAGATGTTTTCTTTTGTTCTTTAATCTAACCTCATGTCAGCCCACATGCTTCAGATCTGAAGTCCCTGACTACTGGCTATATACCTTTGGACTTTAGTGTCAGCTAAATCAAACCCCTTGATATGACTGAATCACTCTGGCCCAGATTGTCCAGTTAAGAACAGCGCTTGTGTTTGTTTTATCTGTTTGACTTCTCTGCCAGAGTTCACCTGACTCATCTGTAATTCATGCAGATTCACTGATAAGACTCCTGAGGTGTTCTGAGAAGAACTGGCTCAAATACGTGCACGATTATCTCCCATGGAAACAGAGGAGCGACTTGGAGAGAGTTGTAGGCAGAGAATCAGGATGTCAGCCATGTTTTCCAGCAGGTCTTTAGAGGTCTGTGACTCAGCAACAGGTGTAAAATAAAATTATTTTTTTTTTTAGCCTGAGTCACATGGCTCAAGTTAATGAACTGCATAAGCCTTACACACATGCTGTCTTCAAAACTTTGGCCATCTGTATGTTCAATTGGTTCTACTCTTGTACAGATTAAGTCTCAAGACTTTCCTGCTTCCGGCTTCGCTACCGTTCGGACGTTTTTGCTTACTGCGATAAGCAGAGGATTTTGTGGGTAGATGTTCAGCAATCTGAATAGGTCAGATTTGCTTGGACCAATGTCACAAACTAAGATTTTTTTTAAGTAACATGCCAGAATAAACTTGACCTTATTAGGCTATACAAGCAAAAGTCACTTTTAAAGGTCCTTAAGGCTACAACAACTGAATATTCCTTGTGAAACAATTAAGGCAGGAAAAAATAATTCCACACTTAAAAATGTTACAGTTAAAGCGAATTCAGTAATACTGACCAAATTCAACCAGACACTTGTGTTTTAATTAAATATTTGTTTATTTCACAAGATTCAGCTTTAATACCTTATTAGAGGTGATTTAATGAGGTAACCCATGATCTCACATGCTAAAGAAAACCTTACTTGAGTGAAGATTGGAATAGTCTCTGTTTGCTTAACCTCTTTACACTTTTAAAAAAAGTTTAAAAAATACATAAAAGAAGCATCAAAACGATGTAGATTGCCAAACAATTCCAAAAGTATCTTATAGTTATTAGAAAGCTCTTATAATATAAATATAAAGTTAACCTAATCTGGCAACAAATCCCATAAACATTCAGACTACACACTTAAAAATGAAGATTGCAAAAAAAAAAAAAGTTTTTGCAGTGATTCCATAAAAGAACCATTTTCGGAACAGAAAGAACAGTGGTCATTTATGTTCTTTCAATTACATATGATTTTGATGAAAACCGTTTGTGAATAAACTTGATTATACTGATTAATGAATGTTTGAAAGGACTTAATTTAGTGATGTTTTTCCATGGTCTCTGATATTTACAACGAATGTTTATAGTGTTACTGGTTATTATTAAAGGAACACTCCACTATTTTTGTAAATAGGCTAATTTTCCAACTCCCCTAGAGTTAAACAGTTGAGTTTTACCATTTTTGAATCCATTCAGCCGATCTCTGGGTCTGGCGGTAGCACTTTTAGCTGTAGCTTAGCATAGATCATTGAATCTGATTAGACCGTTAGCATCTCGCTCAAACTTTTCTGCCGTACCATGGGTGCAGCAGGCGCAATGATATTACGCAGCGCCTGAAAATAGTCCCCAGCTAGGAAACATCAGGAGTTGCTAATGGTCTAATCAGATTCAATGATCTATGCTAAGCTACAGCTAAAAGTGCTACCGCCAGACCCGGAGATCGGCTGAATGGATTCGAAAACGGTAAAACTCAACTGTTTAAAAATGGGCCTATTTTCAAAAATAGTGGAGTGTTCTTTTAAGTGGTATTAAAGCAAATTCCTAGCTATTTGATTACATTGAGTACTGTTGATTGTATAAGATACCTTTTACATTTTTTTTAAATGAAAAGGCAACATTAAAGGCCATAGTTCAAGCTTATTTCTTAGTGATTTTATCAATTGTGGTCATAAAAATAAAGGCAAAAAACGGTACTAAACCACTCCTTAAGGGCAAAGAAGAAACCTTGGGAGGAACCAAGGCTCAAAGGTAACACAAATCCCATCTGACCGACCTTCCAAGAGAATCACTCCTTGGAAAACAGTTGTTAATAGAAGTTCAAAGATAATAGTAAAGTGTAGAGTGGATTTGAAATATTTGAACATCAGCAAAGATTCAATTAGGATGTATGCAGTTGTCTGTGATTTATGAAAAATTGTTAATGAATGACATGGTAGATTCATGGGAACTAGCAATAACAGCCATCTGTTTCAAGCAGAAGTTGTATGCAAACAAAAGTGCAATCCCAAAGTAAAACCCATGACACCTGTCACTGTGCAATCTAAATAATGCCACCGGTTCAGATCAATGCTAAAATAGTGCTTTAGATTGATTAGTGATCTTTTGGAGTAGTAATAGAGTTACAGCATGTATGCATTAGAGTCATGAGCACTCAATCATTGGTTGAACTCTAGAATGTGTAGCAAAAGTTTACAGGGTGTGACCTACCGTGCAACCTTTGAACAGACAAAAACACACATGTTTGAAAGCCTCAATTGTGTTTGGCTGCTTAGTGATCATTTTGAGATCAGAAACAACTAGCCCTACACGAGGACTCAGAGAAGCATATGCATATGCCAGTAGATTGAATTTCAGTGTGTATTGTGTTATTGCTTTAAGTGGATTGGGTGCCTTGACAGAGTATATTAAATGCGGTTTGGCATTTTCTCGTCCTATAACTCCAAAGAACTGTTTGAAGGACAGACTATTAATAGAGACTAATTATATAATGCACAGGATGGATCAGTTGCCAAAAAGCAAGAATGAATGACACAGTGGAACGTCAGGTAGCCTAGGAGATGATTTAAGACACATTTCTAGTCTTTTTACTGAATGTTTATTGAATTTAGCACTGAAAATGTAAAAAATAATAATAATAATACAGGCCGTTGCCTTAAAACGTTAAAATGTATTTCATTGGTGCAGTCCAACACATTGGTGCAATCCAAGTCTGGTTAATGCAGTCGTAAAAATAATAGGCCTATACGTTCATTGGAATGGTGAGTAAAGGGGAACAATGTTAATTCAAAAACCCATTGATCATCAACCACTATATGGAATATAAAAAGGTTAGGAAAGCAAATTGGGATTGTGTTGTTTATGTCAACTTTAACATGGCTGACAAGGTGGTGATGCACCACCACCAAGTGATTTCTGGCATATCTACCACTTTCTCTGCAGTGAACAGATGTGTAACTCTCAAAGTACATCATTTTTCAGGATTTTGTTTCGTGGTTTAATAATTCAAGCATAAAAAGCTAAATATAGATATTATATCGAGTTAAATGTCATTGTTTTCCTTCATAGAGAAAGAACATTGGAGCGCGAGCGTCCCGCGCTTTCTGATTGGTCGAACTGGCGTTCTCTTCAAGTTGTCAAAACTACAGAATTGCGCGTCTTCTCATTGGACGAAAAGAGTTCCAAGCGGCGCCAGCAGGTAACCGCTCGGCCAATCAAAACGCTCCTTTCATGTTGTCCTAGAGACCGTGGTATTTCAGTCTACGACTTCCTTATACTAACGTTTCGGTGTGTTGTGAGATATAACCGTCTGACTGTGTCAGAGTTTCACTCGTTAGGAATACAAGAGCTTTTGCTTCGAACGCGGAACTATAGCAACCTGCTTGTGAAACATTTGTGTAGGCTATATACGTGTCTGTGCGCGCTTGTGTGTAGTGTTGTGTATGAGATATTAGCCCAGCCCAGCAGCCCTTCCTATTTCCCCTCCCTTCCCTCCAACAGTCTCAGTCGGTTCGCCCGCAGCACTTGCGTTCTCTCGGCCGGGTTTCATTCCAGAGATGGCTGCGAAAGTGTGTAGGTCGGTCCTCCTCCTGTCCCGGAGCAGCGGAGCCGTAGCCTCTTCTGCTCTTCCCGCATTCGGTGTCTCCTCACGGCGACATCATCAGAGCACACGAACGGTGAGTCCCCGGAATGGAAAGCAACCGAGCATGGGTGCCGCTACCGCTGCTGCTGGACAAGGGGAGGGTTGTGAAGGGAGAGATAAAGGGGCTGGGTTCCTCTCTCTGGTGAGGGTTAGATAAAAACAACCCGCCAGGAAGTGTTTTGGGACGTTTCTGTCCGCATTGAGTGTTCCGTGCATTGCACAGTGATGATCAGCAGTGCTGCATCATTATTAACCAGTGCACTTTCAGTCGAGCTGTACAAGACGTCCCGTTTACCGGAGGCGTTTACACATGTACAGCCCATGTCACGGGTTTGTCCCGTGTATGCACATTATATTTGAACTTTGCATGCATGCCACAGAATCGCACGCGTGCAATCGGATGCGCTCGTGGCGCATGGGCTCCGTGCGTTCACTTCCAGGATAACCTTGAAAGCAACAGTGGTCTCAACTTTAACGCTGACTCCGAGACACATCATGCGCTCTCCGTGATTGATTGCGTGGCATCGGACCGCTTCAGTCATTTCAAGCATGCAAAGCTTGTTTTTTCAAGGTTTGCAGAACTGGACGGACTGTGTGTTTGATTCACTGCGGTGTCCGGTTGTGTGCATGTGCATAGAGAGAGAGAGTGACAGTGCGGCAGGACTCTTGCGTTCAAACGTTTTCAAGACGCGTTATAAAGTTGAACTGTTCTTAACTTAACGCGCCGTCTTAAAAACGTAACGCAACGTCCGACGCATGCGTACTCGGAACAACTAATAAAAAACAGCGCAGACCTAACGCAAGAATGCGTAACGCACCCCTGCTCGTATGAAGTACTGTCTGTCATTGTTGGGTAAAAAGGAGTATACGCTCCCTCACGGGCATGCATGTTCACTTCAGTTCTTCGTTTAATTATGTCACTCCTTCTCTTTACTCACACACCCCTCCCTTCCTTTCTGCGGGTGTTTCCCGTTTCCAGCGGCAAGCCTGTGGGCTTTCCTTTTGAGCAAACTCCAGTGCGCATTGCTCAGTGGCGCTCCAGCATGTTTGGAAGCTCGTCAGCTGGAAAGAAAACATACGGGCAGTCCTTGAGACACCCATCATAGAGATTTTGATTTGTCGCAACGTCCGACGCATGCGTACTCGGAACAACTAATAAAAAAACAGCGCAGACCTAACGCAAGAATGCGTAACGCCCCCCTGCTCGTATGAAGTACTGTCTGTCATTGCTGGGTAAAAAGGAGTATACGCTCCCTCACGGGCATGCATGTTCACTTCAGTTCTTCGTTTAATTATGTCACTCCTTCTCTTTACTCACACACCCCTCCCTTCCTTTCTGCGGGTGTTTCCCGTTTCCAGCGGCAAGCCTGTGGGCTTTCCTTTTGAGCAAACTCCAGTGCGCATTGCTCAGTGGCGCTCCAGCATGTTTGGAAGCTCGTCAGCTGGAAAGAAAACATACGGGCAGTCCTTGAGACACCCATCATAGAGATTTTGATTTGTCCAACCTTCATGACTTTCAAGTCAAAGTGAGAAAATGTGAGGAGGAAGTCAAGGAGTTCCCTTTCAACAAAGTAGCTACTGTGGCCTTTCCATTAAGATATAGCTGTTTTTAAACTTGGCATAATGGTTATGCAGTGATATTCTTTTAATTAAACTAGTGGATAGCATGGTTGTTAATACAGTGATACTTTTGATTCTTATACAGTGATTCTATCTATCTATCTTTGTTTGTTTTTGTATCTATCTATCTTTGTTTGTTTTTGTATCTATCTATCTTGGTTTGTTTTTGTATCTGTCAGTCTGTCTGTCTATCTATCTATCTATCTATCTATCTATCTATCTATCTATCTATCTATCTATCTATCTATCTATCTATCTATCTATCTATCTTTGTTTGTTTTTGTATCTATCTATCTTTGTTTGTTTTTGTGTCTGTCTGTCTGTCTGTCTGTCTATCTATCTATCATGTGTGTGTATTCTTATAAGCTTTGTACTTAATAACATGTTTTGGACAAGCTGCCATTTTGGACCATAGTTAAAAAACAAAACAAAAAAACATTTTCATTGGAAAAACGCCCCTGCAGCAGCGTTTCTGCCGAAACAATATTGCATTGCTTCATTGTATGTTTTGTGACACTTTCGTAGTGAAGTGTCCAGTGCGTAGCGCTAAAAGCGTGCTTAGTATTATCTGAAACATGAATTTGGCAACATTCTTTTACATTGCTTCTTGTACGTATCACGGCACTTTGGAAATTAAATGTCTAGTGAATGATGCTAGGAGGTTAATTCTGTATTGATTTTAACATACCATGTATACTATACCAATAGTGTTAACAAAAAGTAGACATGAGATAATATGCATTTGCGTATGCGTAACCACGCCATATTCACTTGCTTCTACAAGCTGTTTTATTGTGACTCGTGTTTCAGAGTGCTCTGCATCAAGTGCAGTGCTGTACCAGGTGAGCTACCAGGCAAGTTTACCATATCAGAAAACCCATAAATATGGAACTGATTATGCAATACAAATGTCAAAACGCTAATTATTCACTATGCTAAAAGTGTCTTGAGGACATAACGTAGTATTATCTTTCTTAATCGATAATGTCACTAGTGTTCATGGAAACTGCAGTGAATTGTATATGTATACTTTAAATTCCGTGATATATAAATCTGGTAATCAAACAGTACTATGATAAATACTGGAATACTCTCAGATTCTATCGTTGATGGTGTCTCCTCAGGAATGATATTTTTATGGGTTTTCTTGCCAAAGATATAGGTGACTTGGAATTTAAAGTCTGAACTTAAACTACTATTTGCCTTTGAGATTGCAGCATACAAATAAATATATTAGTTGTTTACAGAACCATACCCCTTAGATTGGCAGAGAATCACAACAGCAGACTCTCACATCCTTCTATGGATTAAGCAGTCCCAGTTTGATCATTAATCTTGTGTGTCTCTATTTATTTCTCTCTGGGCAGTAATGTTTGTGGCTCTGTTGGCATTTATAGTGTTCCCCAAACCAAGCATGCATGGCCTCTTACGGTGCTTGGCACAAACCTGTCTGGCTGAGACACTGCAGTGACAGGTCTCTGACAGCAAGGCCTTCATCGGTTCATCACATGCTAGCTGGGCACCGAGTCTCAAAGCACCGTTTCATCATAAACATCTAAAGCACAGCTGTGAGGAGTTTAACGAATTGCTTCAGAACAACGTTTTCCCCAAGGACTATGCACTTCAGTAGAAATAACAAGGCTTTGAGTGTCTAAAAACACTTTGAACCGTAGCTGGGCACGAGCAGTGGAGAGTGCCATAGCAAAACAGCATCCTCTTGGATCACTAGCTGAAATGCCAGTCGCGGTGTCAGATATTTAGCCTGACTCTGAATCCAGGCCCCTGAGATATGCACTTAACTCTTGTTGGCTTGCTTTTGAATCTGTTCAATAAAAAGCTTCCTTTCTGAATGTGGACAAGTACAGAGACTACTGAAAAACAAAGTAATATATAACCCTGGTGATCACTGTGGTCCACTCCAGTGGATCTTTTTAATCCGTGCAATGAATTGTTGAGTTTAGTCTTTTTCAACAAGCCTCGAGCATATGCAGAGAGCATGTGTGGAGGGTGAACCAGCTGCAGGGTAATCCTATGAAGTCCTATAAGCAGTGTGTTTCTTTGCATACCTTAGAGATGTTATATAAGAAACGTGCATCATTAGTCCGAATAATTTTTTCCAGTCATAATAGCCATTGTACAATGTTCATTGTCATTCAAAACATGCCAGATTAATTACTTGTGCAGTCTGTTATTGGTGTTTAAACAGAAGATTACATACCAGCGATCACATCATATTGATAAGTAAGCGACTCAAGCAAGTCTATATGCATAGATTGTTTTTCCATTGACATGGCCGCAAACGTAAAACAATAAAAGCAACTAACCACCTGAATGCAGCAAAATGGGTTGAATTGGCCTGTGCCAACTTTAAAAAATTTTGGAAGTTGGGACAATTAAAAAAAAAAATGGATTGTGGTTGCATTTCAGTTCAAATGTGTATATAAATATAATTTTAATATGAAATGTCATTACATATTTGGATGAATAGTTTTGTGTGTGTGATCATGAACATCATCAAACCTCTAGCTTCCACGGTTTATTTTTTAAAGTGACGTGACATGTGGCCAAGTATGGTTACCCATACTAGGAATTAGTGCTCTGCATTTGTCCCATCCAAAGTGCACACACACACACACAGCAGTGAACACACACCCGGAGCAGTGGGCAGCCATTTATGCTGTGGTGCAGTATAATTCAGTATCCAATACCTCAGTCATGGTATTGAAGGTGGAAGAGAGCGCTGTACATTCAGCATCATTAGTCCGAATAATTTTTTCCAGTCATAATAGCCATTGTACAATGCATTTGTCCCATCCAAAGTGCACACCCACACACACACAGCAGTGAACACACACCCGGAGCAGTGGGCAGCCATTTATGCTGTGGCGCAGTATAATTCAGTATTCAATACCTCAGTCATGGTATTGAAGGTGGAAGAGAGCGCTGTACATTCACTCCCCCCACCTACAATTCCTGCCAGACCTGAGACTCAACCTTTGGGTTACGAGTCCGACTCTCTAACCACAGTGAACACACACCCGGAGCAGTGGGCAGCCATTTATGCTGTGGTGCAGTATAATTCAGTATCCAATACCTCAGTCATGGTATTGAAGGTGGAAGAGAGCGCTGTACATTCACTCCCCCCACCTACAATTCCTGCCAGACCTGAGACTCAACCTTTGGGTTACGAGTCCGACTCTCTAACCATTAGGCCACGACTTCCCCCCGAATGTTTAAAAATAAACTGGATATGAATTATAACCCTTCCCAGTTTGTTAATCCAATTTGGATTTAAGTGGTCCGATTAACTGTTGTCATGATTGACTGGGCGGCTTCAGTGATTTCGAATAGCAGGAACAGAAGAAGGTTGGTCTAGAGATTGCAACTGTCATTGTCCCAGCTGGAAACTCTTTC